TTTTGTAGGTAAAAAGAAAGCATTAAAAAGGCCTAAAAAGACAGGGTGGAGCACAGATGAACCTTCACTCCTAACTGTGACCTTAGGTGGAACTATGGATCAAAGGGGTTTAGAAGACTGGTAAGAGAGAGCTGAATTAGACATGACTGTCTCAGCATCAGGATGGTGGTACTCATAAAACTTACCAGCATTGTATCACCCTTCTTCAGTATATTCTTTGAAAGATATTTAGAGCATAGAAGTAAAGCATGGAGGACTAATTTATTGGAAGTATAAAGTAAAGAATGTCCCACCTCCTAACCTTGTACCTATAATTTTCCATTCTGCCTTTCTTGGAGAGTTTGTTTTACAATATTATTGCATTTTAATCACAGATTATTTAGTTCAGATTTCCTGACTTTCACTGTTCAGAGTTTATACCTTTTGTTTATGATTTCATTGTCTTACATGATCTGATTTCATCATAGTGTTAGATTTCCGGTTTCTACTGCTTAAAGGAGAGCTTTTGCAGATGCTGGTTTCAATGCTTATGTATCCAGCTGTAAGTGGGAAGGAATTAGGCCTGTGATCAAAAGAACTGTAAGGAAAGAATTATTAGACTTACTTGTTTTGGGAGTTATGTTAAGTCTCTAAGGGACAGTTAGAGGTAGTATTTTTTGTTAAAAGCAGATGTCCATATACATTTTGCTTTCAGGCAAGAATGATAATTTTGGTTTTTTTTTATAAAGTTATGAAATTTCAAGCAAAAACAAGCTAAAAGAAATTCCACTTGTTTTATTCTAATTAGGTAAATTAGTTAAATAGTTTAAGAGGAACTAGGCAGGTAGAGCATATGCTGCAGAAACAGTTATCTCTGCTGGTTTTATGAGGAAGGAAAGTAATAAAATGGGGGAAAAGAGATTGCAATGTACCATGAACACCCTGTTTCTACTGAGCTCAGGATTGTTCATGTGTATTAGATAAATTAAATCCCACGCTCATCCTGCGTATGTGTGCTGTGTCTGCAGAGAGGATGCAGTGGCAAATGCTGGTACAGGACCAGTGGTGAAAATACCATCCAAGCAGGGAGAGTGTTGGGGACAGCCACTGGTGGTGGCACTGCAGCCTTGCAGTATTATACACAGTTCTGTCTACTACAGCTTGAGCTAGAAGAGTGCAGCCTGGGAATGTGACTCTCAACATGAGAGAAAGAAAATTTTCTTAAAAGACATTGCTTAGAAACTTAGCTTTTAATCTGCTAACATTACCCAAAATTAATCTGCCTCACACCAGCTTTGATGCCAGCTCTTATTTATTTTAAATAACTTAATACTTCTAGAAATAATTCCTTATTGAAGAATCCATTCTTTATTAGGTTATACTGAAGTAAATACTACCCTGGAAAAATAAACAGAAGGCTTTGCACATGAAGAGATGAGGAGGAAGTTTGCAGGTGTCTTGGTGAATTCAAGTGTGGGTTGTTTTATTTTCTTAACTACTGAGAACACTTGCAAGACAATAGCATCTTCTGTTTGTGAATCAACATAGTTCAGACGCCTTTATTTAACCTGGGATATAAAATAATTTGAAAAGGTAGTAAAATTGGAAGTAGTTATGATCTATAAAAGGCACATTTGAGTGTGACTTCCAGATCTGAAGACTTTATTATCTTATAATACACATAGTTAATACTACTTTTTGGACTACTCAGTGAGTCTTCTAACAGCTTGTGTTAGGCAAAGACCTAAGTCTTTGTGGGAGTGAGTTTTCTGATTTGTCATAGGTTTATATCTTTATGGGATCTCACTGATTCAGGTTGTAATGTCCAACCTTTATTTCAGATGTAGCACAATCTATACAGAATGCTAAATATACTGAAATCTGTGAATGTAACATAATGGAAAAGAATAAATATTAGAGAAAAAGAACAACTTGATTTTTATTTTTTGTATGCATCTTTGAGTGTTTTCACAAAATGTTTTTTTGTGTTTCCTGAAGAAGTATTTCTGTTTCTGGTAGAAACATTCGTTTCCTGGGAATTTTTTTGGTTTTGTTTTTGTTTTGTTTTGTTTTAGTTGAAAGAATTGAGTAGGAATATGGTGTTTGCTTTAGCGAAAGTCAGGGAACACTTTGGCTGAATTGGCTGGTGCAAAGAAGCGTGTATAGCTAGACTATCATCTCTGCTTTTGCTCCTTTATGCTACTCAGGTAGTCATTAATCCCTACTCTTTCAGACTTTCCAGTTACTTACTTGTAGTAATCAGTCCAACATAATTGAAAGGGTGGGAAGCTATCATGCATGGCTGTAAATTATTCCTCTTTGTACTTATCACCTTAAGGCATGGATTTCAGTTCACTGAGAAAGCAAAGCTGTTTAAAAAAACAGTGTTCAGATTAAGCATTTTGCTTGGAAACTTCAGCAAGATAGAAAGACATTTCTGATTTTTGTCAGACAGAAATTTTGCTCTGTTTGCATGTTTTTTGATGACAGAGTTATGCTCTCAGTGAGTATGAACAGGTGAACTTCCTTGTTGATGTACCTGGTTTATCACAAACTGCAGCATAAGTTCAGTTGTTTTTGCAAACTTGACTTTTTGGAGTCTGTTGAACTCATGAGGTAGGTATGCTACAGAAGAGTAAAGCATGGTTTTACTAATGTTGGCTCTTAGACTTTTTTTCCGTTTGTTATTCCTAAACTCCTGCTTTCTTGAAGATATAGATATAACACACACACACACACACACACACACACACATATGCATCCTGTAGTAATAGAGAATTTGACAACTGAAAACCCTTATTGGACAAATAAAAAGAAACCAGTATCAGTCTAAGAATTAGAGGGGTTCAGAGTTTAGGTTAAATGGGTTGTATGGATACTATAAACTTACTTAAAATCTAGGAACACACTGTACTCATGAACACTCAGAAAAGCACCTGTTAGGATTTCATGGAGTTCTCGAAAGTATTTGTAGAAGGCTTCAGCAGATCCAGTGAATGTTTTGATGCATTTCATGTTCACTAACAGCTAGTAGATACTTCTAGCTAGAAGGATAACTTCTACTGAACACCTTGAAAACTGGGAAGCTGTAATTAGAGAAACTGCCTTGGCATAAAAGATTCACCAGGATGACCTACTTAAAAGGATCTTCATGTACCTACAGTCAGACTACAGTTTGCAGTCATAAATATTACATCAGGGCTTTTTTAAGGCTGCATTTCTCTTCCAGTAAATGCTTCAGTTTCCATTAATAGTTGAATAGTGCCATCACATTTGATTTCTTTGAGAAACAGTCAAAGTGTATGAAATTAATCCAGAGGAAGATAATAAAAATAAGGGCATTTTTTACTATGGGTAAATTTCTATTATTAAAAGGCTAGGGATATATCTTTTAGCATCTGAAGTCATGTCTATGTGATTGTAGGCTTTGTTTTCTTGTATCAGAAGTACATCACATCCTTAGTTTATCTAACCAGTCTGTAGTTTTTCCTATCCCTCAAAACACTATTGGTCCTAAAACTCATGTCTGGAGCATACTTCTGGAGACAATATATGCAATAGAATGAGTAAAGGGCAACTTCTTAAAGCCATTCCTTGGTCTTCTCCTGTAAAGCTCTGAGGGCAGTCCACACTGCTTCAGAAAGGGTGATAAGATTAGCTTCAGAAATTTCCATCTATTTTTACTCCTGCATCACATCTTACTGTCTCCTTAGTTGCATTACTGCAGTTTTTCTGAGGTAATGCTGGAAAATGGATCATTAAAATTATCATGGTTAAAAATAACCTTTTCCCGAAGCTGGAAGCAGGCAGTGTTTTCTTAGAAGCACTTCTGAAAACCTGCAGCCTGCTTTCTCCCAGAAGGGAGGCTTCTACAATCTGTTGCAGTGTCCAGATTCACACACGTGCACACAGACAGACAGACAGACACACACACACACACACACTCTCCCTTAACTTTAGACACATGAGTAATGGTACAATTTTGTAATTGATTTTAGCTGTTCTAACTACAGACTGTTGCCAAAGAATGATCCTGCATTTCATCCTTCTGTATGCTTGCATGCTGCAGCCATTTCTTTTTTCCCATCCCTAGTGACAGTGCAGATATGTGGTGAGCAACTTGTCCTGTAGATATGCCTGAAAATTGCACCAAGAAGGGAAAAGTTAATCTTCACTCTAGTAAGCAACTGCTCTTGACTCATTGTGTCTGCATTTGATGCTACACAAGATGGAAAGACATAGCAGTGGGGCAGGGAGGTGAATTGGGGCAAAATGTCTTGGTGCTTTCATGCAGCTTGGTTAGTGGGAACTCATGCTGGACTAACACATTGGGAAATGCGTTAGCTGATAATATACAGTTGCTCCACTCTGCCCCTACTCTGAGTATAGATAGGGAAGAAAGGAATATGACTTAGGTATTGGGAATCTCCAAAGTGTGAAAGTGCCACCACTTCTGCCCACGCAGCTTCGCACATTGAATTTTTTAGGGTGGGATTTCATATTGCTGAGACTCGGTGTGAGTGCACTGTGAATGCACTGGCCATATTCAGTCAGCTTTGAGACACTGGTACAGATTGGAGGAATACTAACTTTTTACAGGATTTGTGTTAAATAGAAGGCTAGACAGATATTTCATGGTAACTCACTGAGAGAAAGGTTAGTGTTTGTAGCCCGTTCTTATAAAACAGAATTTAAATGGGAAAGGATATTGCAGACAGAATCAATATGATGTATGATGCATGGAATTGGTTGGTTTCTTTCAGAATAAAACCTGATATCTGAGACTAGAGAGTAAAAAAATGAATTCTAAAGATTCTCTGATAGAGATATTAAATTTATCTTTAGCGTATTTTCCTTGTAACCTGCGGTATTTGTATCTCTGAAGAAAATGCAGGCTTTTATATTCGAAGCCCTGTATTCTGATGTCCAGTGCTTCAATAAAGATGGGGATGATTCTGTGTCAGTGTGAAGAGGCATCTAAAAATAGTGAAGTATAAGCTTTTTTCTCTTATATTTTACAGGTTGAGTATTACAGCTTCACTTGTACCTGGGCTTTTTCTACTGATGTCCAACACGCAGTAGACATTCCAAACAATATTTGGCAGGTGCCTTTGCAGCGTAGCAGAAGTCCTTTTGATACAGGATGGAGGACACATACAAAGACAGGACTTCACTAGTGAAAGGGGCCAAAGATATTGCTAAAGAGGTGAAGAGGCAAGCAGTGAAAAAAGTGAATAAAGCAGTTGACAAAGCCCAGGATGGCTACACACAGAGGTCCTACAGTCGATTCCAGGATGAGGAAGATGATGATGATGATTACTATGGTCAAGGAGGAAATTATGGTGTAGAAGCTAATGATGATGAAGGATCAAGTGAAGCAACTGAAGGACATGATGAAGATGATGAAATTTATGAAGGAGAGTATCAGGGAATCCCCAGCACGGGGCAGGGTAAGGATGACATGGTGGCCTTAGGTCAGTCTATGCGTGATGAATACAAGGATCGTCATGAACTGGAAACAGAGAGGAAAGCTGATGAAGAAGAGCTAGCCCAGCAATATGAATTGATAATACAAGAATGTGGCCATGGTCGTTTCCAGTGGGCCCTCTTCTTTGTGCTAGGAATGGCCCTAATGGCTGATGGAGTGGAAGTGTTTGTGGTTGGATTTGTGTTGCCCAGTGCTGAAACAGATATGTGCATACCCAATTCCGGATCAGGATGGCTTGGTAAGTAAAGTCTTCATTGTGTCTTTTTGCTATTTAAAGATTTGCTTACAGTAAGACTAAATATGTATTTGTCAACAGAGAAGCTTGAATATAAATACAATTTTAAAAATAAAATTAATTGTATGTATTAAGAATTTAATTAATATTGTAGCTTTAATTTAAGGTGATTGTTTTCTTAGTCAGTCAGTAAATAAATCACTAAAGAGAAAGACTGCACTGTAAAACTTAATAAGGAGAGGGACAAATTATGTTCTCATATGCAAGAGTAGATGTCCAAATGAACTAATCTAAAAAAAACAGCCCACATATGGAAAATTGGAGTCCTGTAGAAATTTATAGGTGTAATGAAGAGCAGATGATAGAACTGCATGGGAACATTTTCGCATGTGAATCTTTGAAATAGTGAGGTCAAATAAAATCTAGAAAATACAAAAAATTCCAGTGAAAAGCTATCTACTACAGCCTTTCACTCTTTGTTTTTAGTCTTTTTATACCAATGACTGTTCTCTAGCCATCAAAAAAAAAAAAGAAAACTATTTACTTAGGGTCAGGGTGACAAAAGAATGAACAAGAGCCTAGGGTGTGCTTTTTGTGTCCAATCTGCTGATGAGGATAGGCTGTGTCTCATCCCCTTGCTTGTTCCCTCCTGTGGTGTGAGAAACAGGCTGTCTGAGCCAGTTTTGTGTGGCTTGGTGAGAGCAGCAGCACTGCAATTAGGTCCACACTGTCTTCTCTGGATATGCCTGGGCACAGCAGGCAAAACAAGGCTCTCATGGGGCAGGGCTATGGAGAAAAGTTGTAGAAATGGTTCCCCAAAGAAGAGGGAAGGCAGGAGCCTGGGCAAATGGGATAGAGCAGGAAATGAAATGTATATGTGTAGGTAAGTGACTTGGGTCTGAAGACAGGAGAAAAGGAGGGCTTGCAAGAGATTTAAAAGCCTTTGTTTTCTAGCAGATGTAGCTTGTACCCTCCATCTTTGCAGCACGTGTTTATGTTGCAACAGATCTCATTTTAGTTTTGCTCAGTTTCCTGACACATTGATACCAGCAGTTTGGCTCTGTGTTTTCAATACTGTTGGCTGCAGTCTCCCACAGTTACATCTCTATGCTTCCCTTCAGGTGACAGGAGCATAAGAGGAAACAGGCGAGGAGTTCTCAGATGACTGTGTCCTTTGCATTATTTTTTGCCATTTAATCATTTGTTATTAGAACTATTTGCCTATATATACAGTGCAGTGATTAAACTTAAAATAGAGGGAAATAAATAATTAAAATGTAATGGTTAAAGAGGCTGAATGCATATAATCTCTTTTGTACTGCTTGCTTACAAAATTCCAACATTATATGTGTCATGCTTGGACCTGTGAGCTTTCAAGTCTACTTCTTAAAGAAAGATGAGAAACAAACAATACTAACTTCTATCACTAGATAAATGTCAATGAGTCTGTGCAAATAATAACATACAATGCATTCATTAGAAAATGAATGCTCAACTTGCTTTATTAACATGATTTTTTCATCTAGTACTTGGCAGTCGACAATATCTTTAAAATGTACATCTCAATTTTTATAATTTTTTAATTGATAGAAAAACATTCTCACCCCCATTTTTTAATTACTGATAAACCTGCTTGTTTTACCGCATGCAGCCTTCTCAACAAATTAAAGACTCAAAGTTGTCTTTGTTCTCCAGGGTGATAAAATATAAGAGTAACCCCCAAATCACCAACTAATTCGTATTGCATTGTGTTTTCTACAAATAGTATTCTTTCTAAACAACTGCATTAAATATTATGGAGGTGTTTGGAATTGGGAGTGGGGAGTATTGTCTCCATGGTAGTAGGGACCATGAGTATTCACATCCACCTGTTGGGGTCTGACCCATGTCAAGAAGGCTGAGGATTTCTCTGTCACTAGAGTTCTCATGATGCTGCCTTGAGATGTACTGGAATAAGTCTGTAAATATTTAACTAATTCAGTACAGAAGCTGTTAAATATGCCACAGTGTGTGTGTGTGTGTATGCATGTGTGTGTATAAATGATGCTTGTTGACAAAATTTAGGTAACAGCTCTGGAAAACTCAGCGGTGCAAGTAATGTATTCTCGTGCCTAAAATATAGAAATTGTAATATCTCTTCCTTTTGCAATAATATAAAACTAGCCTCTCTGTTGTGGTATTAACAAACAAATAATTATGTACTAAAAGATTAACATACAAAGGCAGGACAGAATGGCGATAAGTAATTTCTTCCTCAGTGTGTATTGAGGGCATTACAACACATGACAGTTTAAGCAATAATTTCAAAAAAAAATATATTTCTTGCCCATTGTTACTAAAAGTATATCACAAGCTGCAAGTCATCAGTACACTAATGTGCATATGGCTTATAAACAGAGTAGATATACTGCTTCCAGTAGCAAGCATAACCTTAATTATACAAAATATTCATCATACCAGTGAATGCTTAGTGAAAGCTTTCTTATGTTGTCAAAACTGAGCCCTCACAACCATGCATTTCAATTGCTTTGCACTTGTGATTTCACCTTATAATTACATCCTAACTGGGGTCTTCCAGACAGGCATAATTCTTTTTCTCATTATTAGAATTCCATAATCCAGAGGATTCTAATATTATTAGAATATTAAAGTCACAGGACTAATGCTAAGAGTTGTAAGGTAAAATCAGTACACATACACAATATTTATTTTTTAGGCAATTTTCTAGACTAGATGCACACTAAGAACATCTTAATTTGTCTTTGAAAAAGCATTCATTGATTTAGTTGTAAAAACTGATTTCTAGTTTATCATGCCATGACAGTTTTTAGAGAACTTGAGCTAATTAGAAACACATGACAATATTTATTGACCCTCCCTGATGCGTTTTTTATTTTTAAAAATTCACTTTCACAAGGAGAATTTCCCAAAATCCTTCTATATTGACCCTTGCATGAGCTTGAAATCACTGTTTATTGATCACCAGCAATGTCTCAGAGCATAAAATTACATAACAAGTGTGCTTGTGCTATGAACTAGCCTCAAGTTGTCTTTTGAATTAAATAATAAACCAATACTTTTTTCATCTCAAGTAAGTGGTTTTCTTAAGAAAAGGGCAGTTGACTAGTCTTTTTTATCCAAGATTATAGTGACATGTCATGAAGCACGAGAGAAAGGTGTCCCTGCTGTATATATAACGTGGCTGGACTTGCCAACTCCTGCATTTAAGTGGATTCACACTGGCCTTTTGGGTTCCGGCACTGATGAGGCAAGACTGTATCTTCATGGGACAGGTTGTAGGCTCAGGTCTAAAGATGTTACTTTAACTCTTTTCCTGCTTGCTTGCCTTATCTCTTTGGTTTTATCAGTCAGAAACAGACTGATTTCAGGTTAATTCTCTGGGCTCTGATTTGGGTATACTTTTCTACCCAATTTTTCTCTGTCTTTCCATTCAGATTGTTCTTAAGTTTTATTGTGGGAGCAAAGCAGTTTTTCCCAGCTATATCTATTCAGGATGCCGTGCTCCTTCTGACCATCCTGTCGCTGGTTCTCCCATGGGACCTTGTGTGTAGGGCCCTTGAGAGCTGCACTGCTGTCACCATGGTTAGCAGTACATACAAACTGACTCCTGCTCAGCTGGCCACGAGGCCACTCCTCGCAGCATCAGTTGGCACCTTTTTCAGACAGACACCTCTGTTCTTTTTTTGTACGTTGCATGCAATCATAGAATAATTTCAGTTGGAAATGACTTCTAAAATACACACAATCCAAACCCCTGCAATATGTATGGACAGCTTTAACTCAGTCAGGTTGGTCAGAGGTCCATCCACCTCAATCGTAGGAAAAAAACCTCAAAATCTCAGCATTTAGTGATTATTTTGAAATATTTTGTTTTCATTTTTTACTTGTGTACCATGAGAGTGCATGAACCAGGCACTCGTATTCACTGACACCTTTTACAGAGGCCAATTGCTCCTCAATGATTTCTAATGGTCTCCCTGGTCTATTTTGAATTCCTATATGATCCTCTATATGAAATCTAGACTGAATGATCTCTGGAGGGTGAATACTTTTCTACTCTTACCATTGTGTTAACCTATGTATTAGTCAAGACTTAGATACAGATTCATAGACAGTACAATACCAAACCTATAAATAATTTTTATATATAAAAGACTTTCTTAACTGATGACTCAGCCTAAAGACATTTTCTTCCTTCTAAAAAACACAAGTATTGTGGTAAATCACTGGTCTGATAATGCAGGTACTGTGAATATGAACAGCAACAAATAGCTTATCTTGGAAATAAAATTGTTTTCTGAAACCCCACATTTAGTGTCACATAATACCTTGATCTAAGAGGATTTTTTCTGAATTTAATGATTACTACAAATTTTTGTAGTATTTGTAGAAAGAAAAGAAGAATATAATTGACATAACTAGGTCTTTTGGGCAAAAGTAGTTCTCAGTCTGGGACAACAACCTACCAATTCTGCATTGATTACCAACTTGTGTATTAGCTGCTTTAGTAACAGTGCTTCCCACACCTACTCTGTCTTAAAACCTACCAAACATAACCAGCATAATTTTAATCCATGCAGTTCTTTCTCTTTACATGATAAGAAGTGCCCTCCAGAGATTTGGTAGCTGATGTAATGTGCTTATAAGCTCTGCTAAGAATACCAAATGATCTCTGAATTTTTCCACTTCTTAGTTTAACGAAGTACTGGCTTGCCAGATCCTTGCTATTTAATTTTATTCTGGTTTTGCAATGATCATTTTCAACAACTTTGTATTCAACAAATGCCTTCCTTGAAACTTACCAATGACAAATACAAGTCCTTCCATTGGGACAGAATAACCCCACTCACTGGTAGAAGCTACTCACTAAAACGCTGGGTAGCAAACAGCTGTGCAGAAGGGTCTGTGGCTTTTAGTAGGAAGTAAGTTGACATAGGACAGCAGCTGCATGGGCAAAATTGACCAGTAAGCAGAGAGGAGTG